GTATGTGTGTGTGTGTGTGTGTGTGTGTGTGTGTGTGTGTGTGTGTATGAAAATAGGTTTTCATTATTCAACCAGCTCTAATTATGATGTTTGAGTGGTAAAGCATATTTGAGGTTGGTGTGTATGTAAATGTTGTCTTAACTAGTGATTCCTGGTTTTAAAAAGAACTCATTAGTAGGCAATGCATTTGAGCAACATTAACTCTCAATTAATGGGGGTTTTGGGTGTGTGTGCCCATCTGCCTACCTCTGTGACCTGGTCTCTTTTAGAGTTTCCCAAGCCATCTCAGCTATGCTTAAAAATTCTTCCAAAATCTATTTGTCAAGCCTACAGCTAAGGCTGGCTGAAAAACAAGAATTCTGTTTCATGAAAAATGTTGACGCTTCAACGATTGGTTTTGTTTCATATTGGAACAAAAGCTAGACCTTTGAGAACTTTTTTTTTTTTTTTTTTTAGCAAAAATAACAAGCCGAGTGGTCAGGGCACTCAGGGGGATGGGGGAGACCCAGGTTTAAGTCCCTGCTCTGAATCAGGCACAGTGTATAGAGTCAATCTCCCTTTCAGGCTCTCCTGTTGGAGCTGTTCCACTTTGTATAAATAATTAAATATTCACTAGACCAGAGAGAGACAGACTGACTCTGTAGCCCAATGTTCAGGGCACTCACCTGCAGTGGGTATTGACTATTCTGAGGTGGGTCTCAGTCTCTCTCTCGTTTTGATCAGAAATTGCATTTTGGACCTGAGACACCTTTTGATATTGATGAATTGGGTCCTTGCCTGTTGCACTTGCTGACAAAAACACATTTAGTTGAAAAATTCCCATCTATATCTTTTCAGAGTGGTAGCCGTGTTAGTCTGTATCAGCAAAAACAATGAGGAGTCCTTGTGACACCTTAGAGACTAACAAATTTATTTGGGCCTAAGCTTTCGTGGGCTAAAACCCACTTCATCAGATGCATTGAGTAAAAAATACAGTAAACAGTATGTATATGAGAATATGGGAGTTGCCTTACGAAGTGGGGGGTCAGTGCTAATGAGGCAATTCAATTAAGGTGGAAGTGGCCTATTCTCAACAGTTGATTACTTTTGTAGTGCTAACGAGGATAGTGCAATCAAGGTGGATGTGGCCTGTTCCCTACAGTTGACAAGAAGATGTGAGTATCCACAGAGGGAAAATTACTTTTTGTAGTGACCCATCCACTCCCAGTCTTTCTTCAGGCCTAATTTGATGGTGTCCAGTTTGCAAATTAATTCCAGTTCTGCAGTTTCTCGTTGAAGTTTGTTTTTGAAGTTATTTGGTTGAAGAATTGCCACTTGTAAGTCTGTTATTAAATTTCCCTGGACATTCAAGTGCTCTCCTACTGGTTTTTGAATGTTACAATTCTTGATGTCTGATTTGTGTCCATTTATTCTTTTGCATAGAGACTGTCCGGTTTGGCCAATGTACATGGCAGAGGGGCATTGCTGGCACATGATGGCATATATCACATTGGTAGATATGCAGGTGAACGAGCCCCTGATGGTGTGGCTGATGTGGTTGGGTCCTATGATGGTGTCCCTTGAATGGATATGCGGACAGAGTTGGCAACGGGGTTTGTTGCAGGGATTGGTTCCTGGGTTAGTGTTTTTATTGTGTGGTGTGTAGTTGCTGGTGAGTATTTGCATCAGGTTTGGGGGGCTGTCTGTAAGCAAGTAGGAAAGCACTTCAGTCTCCCTGGACACTCAATAACAGACTTAAAAGTGGCAATTCTTCAACAACAAAAACTTCAAAAACAATCTTCAATGAGAAACTGCAGAACTGGAATTAATTTGGCCTTGTTAGCACTACAAAAGTAATCAACTGTTGAGAATAGGCCACTTCCACCTTCATTGAATTGGCCTCGTTAGCACTGACCCCCCACTTGGTAAGGCAGCTCCCATCTTTTCATATATACAGGGAAACCCCGCTATAACGCGCCCCGCGATAATGCGAATTCGGATATAACACAATCATAAAGGTGGCTCCCACCGCCCCAAGCGCCCAAAAAAAAAAAGGTGGACGGAGCGTCACCGAAGCACAAAACACATAAACAAACAAAAAAAGCAGCCGGAGTGCCGCTGAAGAAAAACAAAAAAAAGGAAAATGCCTTCCCCACTGCCTCTTCCCCACCCCCACCCCTGCTTCTCCTTTTGACGGGAAGAGCCATTCTCCTCCCCAGGTGCTCCTCACTCTTCCTCTGCCCCTTGCCCATCTACTCTGCTCGCTGCCCAAGAGAAATTGACTGGCTTGAAACTGACCGGCTTTAAATGGTAAAATTTTCGTAACCCCGCTATACCGTGACCCCACATTTATCGCGATCGAATTTTTTGGACCCCAATCATCGCGTTATAGCAGGGTTTCACTGTATATACTGCTTATTGATGCATCTGATGAAATGGGTTTTAGCCCACGAAAGCTTATGCCTATCGATCTCTGTTTCCGGGCACATCTCAGTCAAATCCCTTCTACAGACCAACTTATGTATTGTCGTTGCATTTTAAATTGAAAAGAAAAGGAACCACCTGTGTGGCTAAACCTAAACCACACAATCCAATCTCTAACTCACGTCCTTCATTGCCCCTTCCTCTTTCTGGTGCATGTTGTATTCTCGCCTGTCTGTCAAATCCATCATGGAGACTGTATGTTCTTAAGGACAGGAGGCCTGTCTCTTATGTGTTTTCTGTGAATAAACTGGCACACTTGTGGGTGCTATTAAATAAAGAATAATAATGATACTATCATTTCTGTGCACACAAATGGCTGTACTGGGGTGAACTGAGAGGAGTTATGATAGAATCTTATGTGCCGTTCAGAACATATTGTTTGGGCTGTCAGAATTTAGAAGGTGACTTTGAGAGGAGAAGTCAGGAAACTGATTTTATTTAAACTCAGTGTGGATTGCCCAGGGTAGAAGTGGTTTTTGGCAAGGTGAGTATTGAATGGGGCTGGAGACTACCATGCATGAGAATTGGTGCCTTCCTCACTAATTCTTGTTTGTTGTTTCAAAATGTATAGGCCCAGCTCCATTTCCATTTCATGCATTTTTGAGGCTTATTCTACTCAAAAATATTAATCCTCTATGACTAGGGCCCTACCAAATTCATGGCTGTGAAAAATACGTCACATACTGTGAAATCTGATCCCATGAAATCTGGCTAGTGCGAGGGAGGAACAGGGCTGGGGGTTCCTACTGTGCACAGGGCTCCAGCTGCTAGTGCAGGCCAGATTGGGGAGATGGGACTTCATCTTCCTCTGTAGGGGCTACTTCCCGGGGCCAGATAAGACCTCCCCCTCCGGGAACCTTCCCTGGCTGCAGGAAGCTCTGCGGCTTCTGGCTGGGAGCCCAGCTCTGAAGGCAGCACCATCACCAGTAGCAGTGCAGAAGTGAAGGTGGCAATACATCAGCCCCCCCCTACAATAGCCTTGCAACCCCCCCTCATGACTCCCTTTTGGGTTGGGACCCCCATAATTACAATACTGTGAAATTTACTATTTAAATACCTGAAGTCATGAAATTTACCATTTTTAAAAGCCGATGACCATGAAATTGACCAAAATGGACCATGAATTTGGTAGCGCCTTATGACATAGAAGTTTTGACACGGGAATTGTTTTATTGTCACAGATAGGACTATTACTTCAACAAGGGCATAAAGCAAAAGTAGCAGAACCCTTAAGTAACAAAGTTGCTATTGTCATACAAACATTCAGAGTAACAAGAAAACAAAAGAATACAAAATGGAATAGGTGACATTTGAGCAGAATTGTTTCTAAATTGTTTACCTCCACATTTTCCTGGAAATGACAAATCTATTATTTAAATAATTCACAGGAACATAGTAATCAAACTTAGCATTAATAAACAATTGACAGCAAACACAGTGCACGTTTGTAATGAGCCATCAGTATTTAAAAATATCAATTATCCCCCAAATTACAGCATACTTACCAAATAGCCAATGAGAGTTGACTGATCATGATTTTAACATCTGGCTGAGTGGTGACATCTGAAAGTACATGTATGTGTTATTTGTTTATTCAAGATAGTTGCAATAATAATAATTAATAAGAAGACTTTCTGTGTTTTTCATCCCAGGATCTCAATATGCTATTGCAAACATTAATAATTACAATTTACTTGCAAATTACTTCAAATATTAAATGCTACAAATTAATTGTTATACTTCTGACTTATTCACAATGGCCACCCCTGGGGGAGTGTGGTCTGCTGGCCAAGGGATGTGTCTAGCATGTATTGTGGTCAGGTGCATGCTTTAGTTAGGGGTGCATGCAGTCACATTTCTGAATAGTAAGAAAATGCATCCTCACCACATGGAGCCCAAGTCCGGTCTAGTGGAAACTTGCCCTGATTGGCAAGATGCCTGGAGCAGAGTGAGTATCTGCTAGCATCCCTTCTCCCACTCACCGTGCTGAACAGGGCAGGGTTTGGTCTGTATTGTATTAGTCCAAAAATATGTACTAATTGGTTTCAATATATGCAGTAATAATATCAAGAATTTTTATCAAATGCAGCTTTGCCGGCGTGTAAACATTTTGAGTTGGTGGCATTGGTACATCAGAGCCAGCTCCCTTTCTGAACCTCACCCTCTTCCCCTTCTCTGTCTATTAATGTTTTTATATGGTCACTGTGATATGTTCTGCCCCTTGCACCTTCTTGTTCTTCTCTTCTCCTCTTTTTTTGAAGACTCCACTGACCAGCAGCTACAAATGGGCAAAGATTTTTCCATTGGAAGCAAAGTTTAAATGTTCCCACCCAACACTGACAGACACTTCCTGGCACACGTTAGTATTTGTTTAATGTTGCTTTGCAGGTGGCCCGACACCAGTGTGATGTAGTTAAGGTTTGACTTTCAGCGATGGTTTCTGCAAAAGTCATATTTTTGAGGTTGTAAATGCTAGCTGTTGTCTAGCTGAGCTTCCCATAAAACAAGTAATCATTCGTGGTTATTTTAAGTCCTACTGGCTCCTCCCTAGAATGTTCTCCTCGCTCCATAATCTCATAACTTTGTATGTAAAATCCCTCCTTTTCTTTCTCTTGGTGCCGCGCTAGACCTTCTCTCTCCAGTGGGGACTTTTCTAACCCTCCAGAGCACCGTCAGAGGTGTGTGTGTTGGCTATTTTTCTCAGGAAAGGAGGGGAGGTATTTCCCAGCCAGGTATTTTATTTTGTTTCCTTTGTAAGGTGGCCCCCTTACAGGCTGTTCTCCATACCTGAGAGTGCTGTGCTCTTGCAATGCTGCTCCCTCTTTCCAGCTTTCTCTCTTATCCTGGCCAGCATTCCTTCTCTCTATAAAACAGGCTCTAATGTCCAAGGCTGCGTGTGTGAGTTACTGCTGAGTACTTAGGGCCTGGTCCTGCTTGGTGCTGAGTGCCTCCTGTGAGGTACTGAGTGCCCTTAGGTCTCGCAGAGGTTGTTGGGAGTTGTGGGTGCTCTGCATCTGGCAGGAGGTGCTCAGCGCCTTGCAGGACAGGCCCTTAATGACTAACATGTTTGCTTACAGTCAGTGCACTGCTAGTATCCAAGTTACTGCTTTGAGATACCTCAGCTTTGAAAAGAGCTGTATAACACTATGTAATACCCAGATATTCTTCTGTTCCTCTTCATCTCTTTCTTTATCTCTGTGTTTCTCTAGCAAACACTCATACTCTTGTGTTGTCTCTCTCTCTCTCTCTCTCTCTCTCTCACACACACATTAATCTCTGTTTTTTATGTGTAGTTTCTCTCCTTTCCATATCCATGGAGGAAGTTTGAGGGGATACAGCCTTCTAAGGAACTTCTTACCAGAAGCACATGGTGGATATTAATCACACTGATCAGTAAAACATAATGAGGTCTAAACCTGTCCCTTACATTATTACACCCTTAAAAACAGATTTTAGATATTTATTCAGGTTTAGAGAGAAGAATGTGTCCTGTCTGATTTCCCTCTTCTACCACCCAAAACAATAAGTCAAAGAGCATCTCCTCATCCCACTATTTACCATATAAGGTTAAAATATGATTTTCATTTTAGATTATTAAAAGGAAGAGTGGGGCAAAGGGTAAATCCCTTGCAATCATTAGCTAGTTTGCACACGGGACAAACAAATATGACCAGTAGCATAAAAAAATCACTCACTTCCTCTTCAGAAGTCTTTCCTGAGTTTACTTTAATCTCTTATGATTGCTGAAGTTCATTTGTCCCAGGTTCATAGTGACTTATCCCTCTGTTATTAAGTACTTGTTCTATGGTAGTGACTAGAGTCCCCAGTCAGGTATCAGGGCCCCACTGTGATAAGCATCATATACATGTCTAAAAATGCAGTCCCTTTCGCAAAGAGCTTACAGCCTAAACATATGACAAGAGGCAATAGGTAGTTCCAGCAAACAGCTGAGCGGAAGGACAAGTTAATAGTGTGCAAACCATATTTGGTTCAGTGAGCAGCAGTCACATTATATCCACTACTTACCCATTTTAACACCCTTCAGCCACCTGGTCATTGCTTGTAATACTACATAACACTGTAACATCACTGCATTATCAATTATTACTTGAGTGCTCAGAAGATGGACAGTTGGTCATTCTAGCCAGGGGTGATCACATTGCTAGGATTCTGTACCACTAAAAGACATCACTGGAATGCACAGACAGAGCCAGCTCTGAGCTGAGCTGGCAGCTCAATCTTGTGTGCCAGCATATCCTGTTTGGCCAGCATTGTTGGTGTCTGACATCACCAGCTAATCCACTGCTGTAGTATTAATTTAGGTCAGCTTGCTCACAGTAATAATAATAAATAATAGGTATATCAGATTCTGTATACATGCTCCCATGCTACATATATCAATGGGTATGTTTCTGTACCACGCTGTACAGAAAACTGTCTTGCCAACAGGATCGTGAGCACTTACAAACTCTTATGGGAGTAATAGGCAAAGTCCTTGACTGGTGAGGAGATGTAGAAGTACATCCAGCTGCAAACTGAGTTCATTTTATTTTAACATTGATGCAACTTAATATGAATTACATTGTAATATGCTGCTCAGTCTATTTTAAATATTCTACAAGTGTGAGGCTCTTGTGGTAGAAGAAAGTGTTACTGACCAAATAATGGAGTTAGAATGGGAAGTAAAATCTAGAACTTTAGTTTTTTAAAACTAATTGTCTCTAATGATGTTGTTTAAAATAGTCTGATCAGATGAATGTCATATAATAGGCTGTAGAATGACTCAGATGTATTGATGGCAGCTTCATTAAGGATTCAGGACAAGCTGTCTATATTGATAACTTCCATGTCTGATAGCTAGACTTGACACCAGAAAGAGTTTGAGGCCTAATGGCATAGTAATAGTGCAGTGGGCTGCCATGTTAGAAACTGAACATTAGCAGCTGATTGGTGACCCTCATCCCTGAGGGTAGTGGAGACTGCATGCATTACAGATACACAATGGACTGACTCTCTTGGAGGGAAAAGCAGGACATGCTTACTCATTTGACCAGCACCCCTTGAAGGCCAATTCAGCATTTTACTGGAGGATGCAGCTTGTGAGTTTTATGTCAGGCCCCTTGCAGTGAAGAAATGAAGTGGCAAGTGAGTGGGTTGTGAGGAGAAGCGTAAAAATATAAACAAAACCAAGACAGTGGTTGGGCTAAAGCCCAGGTTCCTAAGATTTTGAGTTTAGCTGTTCTTCAATAGAAGCAGAATTTTTTTTTGCATTAAGCGGGTCTGATTATCTGCTCCACAGCTTTGGAAACACAGTTAGCTGCAGCCCTGGCTGGGGAATTCAAAGGACCATTGCTATTATGCTTCAGGGACTTTTTAAGGAAAACATTAGAAAAATGTCATGTAATGAACTTGTTTGACTTGGTATATGGTATGCTAGGAGGGAGGCATATGGGAATTAATACATGCTAGACATATTTAAGTTTTAATGTTTTATTTTAAAATATGTGGCTACTTAACATGGAGTTACAGTCAGAAAAGTTGTGATGTAAAATGGCAATTCTGTTCCCTGTGTATTTGGCTTTTAGTGACAATCTTTAAACTATTTTTGTCTCCTAATAATGGACATTTAGCTTCCAGGACCTCCCTCTTCTACTCCCTTATATTATTGGTACCAATCTGTATCATAACCACAGGCTCCTCCCTAATAGATTTCACTAGAAGTTTCAGTACGTCTTGTGAGATCTACCACCCTCTTGCTGTGAAGACAAGTCATCTAATGTCTCTTATAGTCACCAACCTACCCACTATTAATATTTCTTTGTGTGTCCTTATTCATGACACTGGCTTAATCAATTGGAGGATCAAGACAGCCTTTTCCAAGGTAGGCGTGTCTTAGAGTGCCCCTGTACATTGTCTCTGTAAGTAATTAAGCCTCCCCCAATTCAGCAACTCTGTCCTAAAGATGCCGAGGGACATGTGTTTCTTGCATTGGGTGCATACATATGGCCACAAGGCAAATAGTAATACATTATGCACTCTAGGACTTGTCCAACTCCCTTTGAAGTAAACAGAGGACTTTCCATTGAATTCAATGGAAGTTGGCTCAGGCACTGAACTGCATAGTCCCTACCTTGACTAATCTATGGCTAGTTCTCTACCTCCACTGGATACACTGAGGTTTTTATTTATTTAATCATTTTTCTAAGCTTTCTTCCAATAACAGTTATTTGAGCATCCCACTCTTCTTGGCACCAAACTCCCATGCAGTTCAGACTTCCTTGTACTTGCTCTGTCTGATGTCTTTCTCAGTATGGGAGCTGACTTTAGATCAGTAGTTCTCAATAGTTTTGGGCTCAAGACCCAGGTGTAAATGTTTATGGCCTGTCATGACCCAGTGAATAGTCTGGGGGTGGAGGCCCTGGCATGGTTCCTGCCCCTCAGTGGGTTGGGTCCTGCTTGTCACTCACCCCTGCAGCTCCTGTGCTGTGGGGCTGGCTGAGCTTGGCTCTCTGCTCCGGGCGTTGCAACCCTGGGGTTGCAGTGCCACTCAGGTTTGGCCCTGCCCCCTTGACTGGACCAAATTTATGTGAGTGGAATTGTGACCTGGCTCATGGGGTTACAGTGCCACACACTCAAATTTGCCCTACTCGGACTCCCGCCATCATGATGGCTGGGCTAAAGCTTAATGGTGCTGGGAACCCAGAGGTTGCAGTGCCTGCAGCAGGAAGGCGAGCTCAGCCACCTCGTGGGACAGGAGCTGCCACACAACCCTTTGAAACATTCTGGCGACCCAATTTTGGATCCCGACCCCTGGGTTGAGAAACTCTGCCTTAGATTATTAAGGGCAAGGTATAAATCCAGGGACTCTTGGTAGCTGTCTCAAAAAATACTTCTAGTTCCAAATGCAGCAACAGCTAGACAAGGGAGACTTCAAGGTTGTGTGGATGAGAAGATGGTGTGAAGAAGAAGGGTTTAAATTTATTTGGTTCCATGGAGTTTTTCGGATCAGGAAGAGCCACTACAGAAGGGATGGAACTAAACTGTTGCACAAAATATGGAGATAATTTTGATGGATTACTTAAATGCTGAAGAAAGCCAACAGGTACTGAGAAGCTCTCTGGTCAGACAAAGACATCTGTTAGGGATGGCAATAGAACAAAGGTGTCTCTGTATCTAGTAAAGGATAGCCCAGAAATGACAGCTGAACTGTATGAAGGGCAGGTTGAGATCAGAGAAGTACATTCCAGAAAAATAACAGGGTATCAGATTAAAGAGTTAAATTAAAATAGGCACACAGACAAAAATTAAAACTAGAACTGGCTAGAAATGAGTGTGAGAAGCTTACATTCAAAAATAGGTGAACTAGAATGCCTGACAATAAAAAGGTATCTTGATAAAGACTGAAATATGGTGGGATGACCGTAGTAATGGGCTGGTCAACAGACAATCATGCCACCTTCTTACAAGCTGATTATTATATTACAGTTTTCTTACTGCTTCCTCTGATGCACCAGGTGCTGGCCACCGTCAGAGACACTGGTCTGATGGCAATTCCTACGCTCTCATTACTGTCAGCAGTGTAGTCAATACAGCAACATGAGAATGAGCTGGATTTCTGACTCTTGCATCATCAACTAATTCTGCCTTTATTTACATTTTTGCAACCCCTAGGAGATTTGATGAGGATTGGAAAGATGTAATAAGGGCAGAATTTAGCCTACAAAATAGTTATTACTGCTGGTGCTGAATGAGCTGAAAACAAGACAGCTTGATTTTCAATGCCTGGAATGAACTCTGAGTTGACAGTTATTCAAGTCAAAAGGTTTTGTTTGGTTTTGATCTGTAAGCAGAACTAGAGATTCTGTGCTATGTGTTATGCCACCTTCTGAGCCAGAATAGAGAGAGAGGGTTTTTTTTCTTGCATAGTACCTCAGACTCCCACTTTAGGCTTGACCAAAGCCTACAAACCTGCTGAAGGTGAAATCATTTTCTCAATTTGGGATGAGGTTTGTTATTGTTTCCTCTTCTTTTACCATTTTAGAGTAATTTTTTGCCTTACCTGTGCCAGTTTTATAAATGTCCAGTGTGACGAAGGACACTGCTCAGAGTACTATAGAGGGTGAGAAGACAAGGAAGGGTGTTTTCTTTTTAATTACTCTAGGGGTAAAAACTGTGAGGAAAAACTCTATAGGACAGAAACAACGAGGAGTCCTTGTGGCACCTTA